ACACCCTGTATAACAAGACATGATTTCGTCGCGTGAAATAAGTGATAAATTCATTTTTTTTTTAATTTTGACTTAGACCACTTTCATAATTATGGGCACATATTTCAAATAGAGTTCTCTCGCAATGCGAATAGTAAAGCGTTACAAATTGTGGGCCGATATATCAGCTCTGGCACTAAAAGGGTTAAAATTGTAACAGTTCTCTCGGTGTAAAAAAATACAGATTCGTGAATGTTTGAAGTCTGTCGGAGGACGTCTGCACTCGAGAAATGAAATTTGAAATCGGCGAGCGACGGAAATAGCATTAGCGTCTAGTCGGGTAAACGCACAGAGGCCGGGTCTGTGTTCCGTCTTTGCTGATACCGATCTGAGAGATGATCGCGCGTGTGGCCAGTACGGTCGTGGTTCCACGATCGACCGATAAAACGGGGGCAAATTTCGTCGGGTCCCTCGAGCTTTCTCACACTTCCTCTCCTTCTGATTCGACGCACAACCCGCGGATAAATCAGACGTGGACGCGCGCGTGCACAACCGAAGGAAGCTTCGTCCCGCGAGGAAGTTGTAAAATCGCGCGAGCCGACGGTGGTGGGAGGGAGCGAGGTAGGATCGTAAAGGGCTGCCAATTGATATGCCCTCGACGAAGCCCCGGCTACGAGACATTCCTACGCGACGCGTTCGGGGAACCTTTTCGCCCGAGCCGTAAAACAACCATTTGCATCGTTACCGTTTCTCTGATCGAACGTGTTAACTCTTGACACACGCTGCGTGATATCGGCGAACATTTGCAACCGGTTTCGCATCGGATTTATTCTTATCTATAATCAACTCAGAAACGTACTCTATTATCTATTAAAAAAATGAGCAAACGAGTCTTTCAGTCATTGGTTGTATAAACATATGTAAATTTACGAGACTGTGTTGTAATAAAAAATGCAAAATTCCATTGGAACACGTATTCTGACGAGGCGACGTACACGCGTAGTACACAGAAGGGTAAGAAATCGGTATGAGCGTTCGTTTAGCCGAAAAGGGTGGGAACCGAGGTTCGACCAAAATCGTTTCATTCATTGACCCGAGTTCGCGGGACGATTTCGTATTCGATCGGTGTGCGGTAGCATCGTGTGCGATCACATCAATCTGCATTCGAATCCGAACGCGTTCCGTCTCTCTCGAACCCTGTTTCGTTTGCACCTCGCGCCTCTCGGTCGGGAGACGGGGGCTCCTCCTCGCTCCTATTAAAGCCGCTACGTATTGTATTCAAATCGGTCCAAGCTTTCCTCCGCGCATCCGTCCGTCCTTTACCCCCTCCCCCTCCTCCCCCCTGTTCAACCCCGGTCGACGCTCATTAAGCTTCATCCGTCGATTCCGGTAAAATACTGCGTTTTCGGGACTGATTCACCCGCCCACACCGTTCAAAATTCATTTCAACCCGATGTTCAGATGTAATTATTTTCATTAGAATTAGGCTCGAGGCATGATCGTATGTGTGAATTGCGCGTATGTATGATCGTATGAGTTTATGTGAATTCGCAATTCATTATGTCGGTTATCGTGAAAGTATAAAGTCTGGAAGAATCGAAAAGAATCAGTTTTGAGTCAGAGTACAATTAAAATATAAGTTAGTCAGCAGATCAGATAAGAAAATTAGGAAAAGGTAGGATCGTGTATTTTATTATGTATAATGTCGGAAAACGTAAGGTGAACAAAATGAAATATTCACACACGTGGCCGGCAATATGAATTCTAAAAGAAATTGAATTTATGT